TGCCTGAGGGTTATAATCCCTAAGTGCGGCCGAAGGCCGCCTACGCACAAAGGTGTTCTCTGCGACAGGTGTTTAGCCCTCCTTTTTTCGCCTGATAACCACCTTGGGATAACTTCTTTTATTTAAAAACCCCACAGATTCTGTTAGTTGGGTTATATTCCACTTCAAACTGCTCAGTTTGCCTCGGAAAATGCCGTTTTTACCCCATTTTCAAACGGTTCCCTAGGGGTCTGTGGGAGGTCCCCAAAGGGAGGGTGGGGCTTTTCGTAAAGTGGCGACTGGCCCCTTTCGAATGAGGGGGGTTTGGGGGCCACGCCCCCTTCCCCCTCCGCCCCCCACCCCAAAAACGATGGGCCAATAACTAAACATTTCCCTTGAATTTACTAAATCTGTGCACTAATTTAACAATGGTTGGAAATATGGTATTTGTTGCAAATTTCCGAAATATACGTACTCTAACTAATCTTATTCTGCCTTAAAGCAGCCACTATTATTTGTTACTTATTTTATTCCTTTAGTTGAAACTTATTCGTCGCAATTTATTAATTAAAATTGCTATGAAAATCACCCGTGAACCTGTGATTGCATATGCAGATTAAATGGCGGAGCTGAGCTGTCAAACATAGACATCCCTGGGGCAGTTTGCTCATCCTTTCCCAAGGCTACATCACTGGAGTGATAGCCCCAGTTGGTGCACACCAAAAGGAGAATTCTATTTGGTGAGGGTTATAATCCTAAAGTGCCCCCAAAGGCCGCCTACGCAGAAAGGTGTCTAAAAGCTTAACCCACACATAAATCGTTGTACAAATAGCTAAACATTTAGCGAAATTTTAGCTACAAAACATGAATACTGTTTTCAAAAATAAATGTTATTTCGTCTGGTTGTTATCTTTTCTTCTCTCTTTTTCAGTTATTTGACCTGCTTTTGCCAATCCGAGCGAAATAAAGTTATTCAAGTGAAATTTTGCAGAAAATGAGATCTTCAATCGTAGCTCAATATGCGCTTCGTATGAGTTTTGGACAGGTAAGTGCTAATTATTTATATACAAATTAAACGTAGAGGGAGGGCGAGCACACTTCGCCAAAGCAAGATTACAAATATGCATTTCGCTTCTTCACTGCAAGGAACTTGACCCTCTCCCCTACGAAATCATCGGCAAGCCTTTTTATCACCAAACCGGAGAAGTTCAGACTACAGCTGGGAATTTACGTCGATTGCGACCCAATTCTGACGCTAAATGACCCAAAAATCCTCGGAGTTATCTTCGACACTCTGCTCTCCTCGACGCAAACAACCGCAATTGTCAATAGAGTACAGAACCGCAACAAGGTCCCCAAGTTACCCTCTGGACCCGACAGCATACCGACAGGCCATAACCGGCATTTACGGGGGTCTAGACCTACATCGACTCCCGATCTGTGTAACCAACCACCCGAGGTGGACGGCACAGAGCTTTGTCTGCCAAACTTCACTCTCGATTTTAAACCAGGTTAAACTCATACCTGAGCAGAGTGAACGCAGATGTGCTCAACGAGTGCCCGGCATGCGGAGTCACCACATGGCTCACGGCACCTCTTGGGGTGCCCCAAACTCCCATCCATCTAAAGCCTTTGTCCCTATGGACAAAAGCCGTTGACCGACAAGCCGATCCAGGCAGTGCTAAGTCAGGCGTTGTAGCACTATGTACTAATTAAAAGTGATAGCATTACCCTCTTCATAAAGTAATATGCATTTTAACTATGTTTCTTATTTTTGACTTCTATATGGTAAAAGTGATGAGGAGAGCGTGGCACCGCTCATCTTTCCGGATTGAAAGAGCAAATATCAAAGAATTCAATGACATGCTTTTCTTTCTCCTCCGACCACAGGATTCTTCAGAGAAAAATGGAGGGCCGCCTGCGCAGAAAGAATCTCCCGTAAATACTACAGCGTAGACGGAGTTGGTTATTTTTGCTTTGAACAAAGAAGTTCCGAACAAAAAAGTTCTATTTTTATGGAATTTGTAAGCAAACGCGAAAATTTGTTTCCTGTTTTGAGGAGGTTCGTCTGAGGAGCCCTGTAGTCGGAGGAGAAAGAGAAGCATGCAACTGAATTCATTACTCTTTCAAGCTGGAAAGTTGAGGGGTGCCACGCCTCCTTGATTTTTTTGTGCCAGCCTCGAACTAACAGATAATATTGGGAACATTCACCTCAAATCTTATTATTTTTGTCACTTCGCGTTACCTTTTTAAGTTTTCTTTTAACAGGTTGAACTGTGCTCGACATCTCCCACATAAATCACTTTTATAACATCATGGTAACTACATATTTCCATTATGTATTTTCAAACAGCTTTGAAATTAACTCTTATAATTCCGCTCACATCATCATCATGGAGCAGAGCACATTTCAACCTGGTGATATCTGCCTCGAATGCCAGCAACAAGGCTTGAGAAATCGTTTACGTACTTTTTACATCGATATCAATGAGCAAATTGTGAAATGTGAGAGTTCCTCCTGCATTTATCCTTACATAAATGACTTTTCGGATTCTGAGGAAGATGTGTCGTCTAAAGAATTTCAAAAGAGCCCACCAAAACCCACTTCCTTGCCATCTTCTGATTTGTGTACTTATCCTAACAATGATTTTGATGAGTTAGATAGTGTCCGTTTTGTGGAAGCGCTACTTTGTATCGATGCTAAAAATAATACTATTGAGACATCAGGAATTGATGGCAGCACCACAGAGAATAGCGCGACACCATTCCCCTATCAAACTACCAGTTGCATGTCACCCACCACATCACAGAACCATTCAGAAATGTTACCTTCAGCTTATTCATTGAAACATCAAAACACATTTGAGCCGAATTCATTTTCTAAAGATGCATTGGATATGAAAGAGGACGTGAGTTGTATTGACAAGCAGTTTAGTAATTATAAGACTGATGCATCCACTGCACTTCATACCACCTCACTAACGACACAAGAAACCTCAGCAAATTTCGATATGCCAGAAATAGGTTTCGATTTTGCCGTCATGCCACCACCACCTGAGCATCGTCTGCTGGACGTAAAGAAAGAATTAAAACCAAAAATTGAAATACAATGCATACAAACTGTTAAAGCAGAATTTACAAATGCAAAGTTCAATGTTGAGAATATGGTGACCAATGAGTCGAAAATTTCCATTAGTTCTATGGAGTTCATTAAAACGGAATACATTAAGGAAGAGCCAGTAAAACCAGCTGACACATCGGAAAACTCGGTTACGTCACAAGCAAATGCCTCAGCTGGCGGAACACGCATATCACGTTACTTTGATGCTTTGCGTGTAAAACAAGAAAAGCTCCAAAAGTCACAGTCAAAACATAGTTCAGCAGACCGTAAGAAGCGTTGTAACGGACCTCAGCAAACAAAGTCGGACACTGCAAATGGGAGTAGTTTGATAAATGTGCTGCAGGTGCTGCAAACTAAAAATAAGAAATGAGCAGTTTGATTGTCGTAGGTCAGTTGATTGAAATAATAGATATTTTTCGCTGAATGTAGTAAAGGTTTTGAGGTATTTACGAACGCTACATTCACACAATCATATACATACATATGTATATACTATACATGGGTATTTGTAAATGCACTTGTGAATTCCCACGGATCGTTTATAATTACCCATACAAACAATTCCTTTAGCAAATGAAAGGTTATCCATTAACACCTACTAGTGAACGGGGTGACTTTAAAATTATCGCGCTAATATTATTTTTAAATTTTAAATGAACTGATAAGCTAAATATACTTGTAATTTTTTGTGTCTCGGTAATAACACAAATTTTTCCATTATCTGGCATCTTTTTTCATTCCAAAAATAAAACTTGAAGCTTCAAAGACTCGCACTTCTTGTAAATTTAAAGTCCTATACGCCGTGGCACGCTTCCATTGCATGATTGTACAACTTTTTATTCATTTAATAATTGTCGAAAGATAATGTAGAGGTGCGTGAAAGCGAAGAAATTTGCATTGACGTAGAGCGATTAACAGACAATGTAGCGTATTTGATTTGGTTAATCGCGGAGCGATGCCATCAAAAATCGTGGGCACTTTGTATGTGGCACAATTTGCAAAAATAATACACACCTTTATTGACGTAACTTATGGTCCGATTAAAAGTCTGCAATATATGTATGTACATATGTACATATGCATGGCAATGTAATAAAAATAAACATTTAATTGCATATATCATGTATGTACATATTTACGTACGTATATTATAAATATGTATGTATGAATGTGTGCAAATGTTTGCGTGTTTATTTAAACATCATGTTTTTCACATCTCAATATATGTACATATGTACATATTGAGAATTTTCCGAAACTTCGGGTCAACACACTCGCTAATGAAGATTATTTAACATTTGCATGTGCTTTTGGTAAAGATAGTTTATATTTCTAGAAACCACTTACGAGTCCAAACCTCTGGCGCTTTTAAACTTTACTGAAATTTCGCCTGAATAAAAAATGTGATTTTTTTAAATAAATAAACTTTTACTAAATACATACAAAAGTTACTATTACTTGATTTAGAATTTTTGTTTTGACACTACGCTACTCTTTTCATCATCATTAGACAGAATCTATTTACAGAATAAATCCCAGTGTAATTCAGTGGGAAAAACGTCTCAGTACAACTTTCAATTAAAAAAATGCAACTACGAAATCTTATCAGCGCGAGCGAATGATTTCCGAGCCGTTTGCAGCTGCCTTGACGTTGCAGGCTTATCTATGATTGACTACGCAGCGACTCACCCCATGCTAGTCAATAATCTATACATATAATAAAGCTGTAACAGACCGATGTCTACATTATAGATTTTAAAGAAATATCAATATTGGGGGTCTTTATTAGAGCAACAGAAGCCAATTAAACAATTTTTAGAATTTTTGTTTGTCTGTCCGTCTGTCTGTACATATGTTTGAACGTGCATCATTCGAAAACTAATACCATGGAATTGAATGGAGTTTTCACGGACGTATTGCTAGAGGTCTAACTTAAAATATAGTCAGCTTTCAGACACGTCAGGCCTTGCTTTCACGTTTGCTCGTTCCAAGGCGAAGGAGGTGAGAAGAGAGGGGAAGAGTACAGATAAATCCGCAAGTTTTCTTGTCTCTTTTTGGATCTTTTCGTTGCTTCCCATTTAAAGAACCAAGAACTTGAATTCAATAAAAGTTGACGCGTCTGGACGCAAATAGAAAACACTAAAGATAATGCGAAAAAATTGTTTTCAAGACTTGACGAGTCTGAAAGGGGACATACATAGGACCAGTTTTTCAGTGCAGTTTAAACTCAGTTTAAACGCCCGATCTGGCTGGTTTAAACTAAGATTAGATGTCAACCAATGTTCAACTTAAACTCAGTTTACTTAATCTAAGTTTAAACTGGCACTGAAAAACTGGCCCATAGAAAGAAAAAAATTAGAGAGCTTCCACCTGTTTGAAAATTGCAGTTTAAGTAAATTGATAAGATAAATAGTCTGTTCCTTTGAACTTCGGACTAAAACCTGTGGAACGGTCAAACTACAATTTTACTCTCTCAAGTGAGAGTAAAAGGAGAACAGATGCAGAAGTGCACGGGAACGCAAAAAGCACTATTTCCTGTAAAAACGTCAGTCGGTTTGTTTACATGTCATTGGTACAAAACTGATTTGACTGAAATATCACTAAATAATTATTAAAATCTATACATATTCAAACATTTCGTTGTTTACTTCCATTTTTTAACAAATATAAGGTTCTTTGCTTTCACCGCTTTCTGTTTTTGTTTGCACATGTAAATCAGCTGATCGTTTGACACTTTTCATGAACTTACAGGAAAAAAACTCCGGACTAGGACAGTTGCTCAGTTACTCTCTTAAAAGTGTTCCCACTTACAGGTTTTATGTCAATAGGAACGACTTCCTGTAAGTTCTGACTAAATCCTGTAAACCGGACTGCTATTGGAACAGACTAAAAGTAAATATTGCAATATGGCTGTCAAAAGAAAGAGGTTTAAGAACGCTTACAGCATGATTCAATAATGAAAGGTTTTGTAAGAAAAACTTTCTCTCGCTC